CCCAAGACAGGCAGCTCACCACCTACCTGGTCTAATTAAAGCATCACACACCTGGAATCATAAACCAGAAAGCTCTTTCAGTAGGGGAATGCCTCCTTTGAGTGAAATCTCACAATTCTGGGGCCAAGAGGCAAGTGACCCCGGCTCATTCCTGACCCACCTAAGCCTGGGGACAAGTCCTCCCTGCTCTGGGCCTACATGACCCCAGCTGGACACAGGGCAGCTGGAGGTCAGAAGACTGGGGCCTTTTTAGTTGCTACGTTCAGTGTAGCTGCCCCACTGTTTATTGAGGGGCGACTGTGTGCCAGGACCACTGTGGGCAGAAGCTTGAGAGGCAAAGTGGGGGCCAGGAAAAAGGTGGGCACTTTATCCACTCATCCTTCCAATAGGCCATCAGAGAGGCCAACAGCTCTGCCTGCAGAGGACCTCACTCGGAAGAGGCACCCGGAGATGTCTGATGACCTGAGCCCACTCTCAGCCCCCAACCCCTCCTGCCCATCCCCCCACCTGCACGCCATGACACCCCCTGCCCGGGGGGCTCTCCCACTGCCCCGGCCCCATGGAGTTGGGGCTCAGACAAGGACAGGGTTCCAGGCACAGGGTTCGGAGGGCAAGGCTGAGCCTGGGGGTTCCATGAAACACTTGTGGGGGCTTTGAGCCACCTCCACTGGGGAGCAGGGGGAGCAGAGGGAGCAGAGGGAGCAGGGCTGGAGACCAGGAGGGAGAGGCCAGGATGACTAATGAGGCATTTCTCTCTGTCCCTCAGGGAGAGAAGTCAGGGAGAAGAATGGTTGTCAAGGGCAACACATTCTTTCCCATGGGTAACTCTAGCCTGTGTCACCCACAGGGAGTGGGGTTTCGGGGCGGCCACGACTGGAGTGTCTGACCCACAGAGCTTGGAGGTCTTCACTCGTTTTGTGGAGGAGAAACTGAGGCCAGGGCAGGGCTTCCTGGTGGGGGTCCCCCAGCAAATAAGGCAGAAAGGAGAACCCTGGGCTCCTGTCTTGCACTGGGGTCTCTGCCTCAGGAGTCAGGGGCATCCAGTCTGGGACTAGTGTGGGGGATGGAAGGAGAGGGACAGGACATGGCTATAGAGGCTTCTGGTTTATGTGGGTAGGGGGGAAGGCCACCTAGAAAGCTGGGCCAGGGACAGTGAGCAGGTGGACCCCAGCCTACACCCAAGTCCATTCTGAAGTCTTCAGCCTGCTCAGTGGGCCCCCAGGCCCTGTCCTACCTCCAGGCCTCTGCGCACCAAAGCTTCTGCCTTCAGCTCGCCTGTTGGCTCCAGTTAAATGACCTCCCACTGACCCCGGCTCCATGCCTTCCACCTCCGCGAATGTTCTTGCCAACTCTGCTGTATGGTGGGTGGATCAGTCCTCTCGGGAGGCCATAGCTCGATGTCGCAGACCGGGGTGCTCAAACAAGGCTCGGGGCGCCTGCCATTCTTGATCTGGGGGCTGTGAGGTCAAGCCCCACGTTGGGCCCGGAGCTTACTTAAACAGCGAGTATCTGTTTTCTCACTCCGGAAGCGCAAGATCCAGTGGGCAGGGTTGGTTTCTTTGGAGACCTCTCTCCTTGGCATGCACTCGGCTGCCCAATGGTGGCCTGATCCCACGGTCTCTCCTCTGCGCTCATCCCTGGTGACGTGTCCTCATCTTTTATCAAGACGCTAGTTGGATTGGATGACGTTCCACTCTAAAGGCCTCACTTAACTCCCTCTTTAACTTAATTCCCCCTTTAGAGACCCTGTCTCCAAATACAGTTGCATTCTGAGGCACTCTAGGAGTTAGAACTTCCATAGAATTTTCCACAATTTGGTCTATCACAGTGGGTGGGCCTCCCGTGTGTGTGGCACACTCCCTAAGGACAGGGACTGGATCTGAGCCCTCTGTATGGCCTGGAGGGTCTCCAGGCTGGGTCCCTGGGTCCGTTGTCCTGCCCAGAAGTGGGTACCCACCAGGAACTACCCCCTCTGCCCCCACACCTCTCCCCCCCTCTCCCTTCCAGGGAGCGAGCAGGTGGGGTAGGCAGACTGCAGAGTGAGGAGTGAGGTGTGACAAGTCCAAGGGCTGGACCCTGGAGAGGCCCGCACGCTCCCCCACATTGGCCCTGGGGGCCCTACTAGAAGGCCGACAGTCACAGAGCCCCACAAAGCTCTGAAGAGCCCTCAGCATTTAATGACATTCTTTTATTACAGTGAATATAAAGCACACTCCCCAGCTGCCTGGGGCCCGGCCACCTTCCTAGAGTGATAAATGGCTCACGTTCAGACGGTCTAGCTCCTGCCACTGCCTTCTTATGTCTGGGACACTGCCTTTCTGCTCTGTGTCCTCCCAGAGCCAGCCCTGGAGAATCACAGAAATGCGTCCCTCCTCCACAAGAACTCAGTCAGCCCCTCACCCACACCCAGGCACGCCAGCATGGCCCAGGCTCCCATGCAGCCAGGTGCCCACCAGTCATGCACCCACCCCAGACAAAGGAGTGGGTGCCGAGGCTAGCCCTTCCAGCCAGGGCATAGGCCACCATGCCCAGCTTCCAGACATGACCAGCCCAGAAGCTCCCATGGTAGGACTCCAAGGAATGCAGTTTGTTCTGCACTGGGATTCCCAGTGTGATCTCCAATCCCGGCTCTCTCAGGGTTTCCAGGAGCTTCCTAATCTCTTCCAGAACATTCCTTCCCCACTGAGCTCACCAAGGTTGGTACCTGCTCTTTGTGGCTGAGAACACACTGGGGGTGGGGGGCTTCCTGGGCTCTGTGGAGATGGTTTCCTGGGTGGGTGAAAGAGACCCCACTTTTCCTACCACTGGAATATAGTTGTACCCAGTTAAAAATGATTAAGAAGTGATTCATCCAAATGAGAGGAGCAGCGAGTGATGGAACCCATGACAGGCAAATGAATGTCAGGACTTCTGTTTTCTTTTCCCCCCAAATTTTGCCAGTCATGGTGTCTTTCAAGATGATTAAAATGTTCTGAAGTTGGTTCTGATTTGCAACTCTGTGAATATGCTAGAAATCAGCAAACTGAACAGTTTAAGTAGGTACCCCGCATCATATTTGAATTATATCTCAATGAAGCTGGTATTTTTTTAAAAGAATGCAGGGCCGCCTAGGTGGCTCAGTCCTTAAGCGCCTGCCTTTGGCTCAGGTCATGATCCCAGGGTCCTGGGATCGAGCCCCGCATCGGGCTCCCTGCTCAGCGGGGAGCCTGCTTCTCCCTCTCCCACTCCCCCTGCTTGTGTTCCCTCCCTCGCTGTCTCACTCTCTGTCAAATAAATAAATAAATAAAATCTTAAAAAAAAAAAAAAGAGAATGTAAAGATGAATTTGCCTTTTATAAAGCAGTCAACAAGTGTCCATTAAAGACCTGCCGGGGAACCTGGCACTGTGCCAGCTCTGGGGCACCATGGTGAGCAAACCAGACACAGAGTCCCTGTCCTCCTGGAGTTTCCAGTCCAGTGGGAAAGATGCAAAACTCACTCTTTTAAATGTCTAATTACAAAATGGAAAACGTGCAGAGAAGGGAAAGAACGGGGATCCAAGAGAGCTGAAGGGACAGGAAGGACTTTCCTGAAGAAGAGACACAGGAGCTGAGGAAGCTCCTGAGCTGAGGAGCGAAGTGGAGAAGTGTTTTACACTGTGGGGGGAAAGCAAGTGCAAAGGCCCTGTGGCAGGAGGGCTAACCAGGCACCTGTGTGGCTGGAATAGAGAAAGCAAGGGATGGATCGATGGGGCCTTGAAACTGAGATGGCAAATCTAGATTCTGGTCTTGCAGCAGGAAGTCTCTGCAAGCAGTGAGCAAAGGTGGACACCATCAGGTTCCTAATCTGGTCCTTCTGGATACTGGGAGGAGGATAGGTTTGGGGGTCAGGAACACTGATGTGGAAAGACCAGCTAGAGATGGGGTGGCTGGCTGGGGATTGCAGGGATGACGGTCAGGAACACGTGGTTCAGAGGCAAAGAGGAACAAAGTGAACCCAGACGGTGAGACGGAGCGGTGGTGCCCCCCCCTTCCCTCGCCCCTGGTTTCCACCTGCTGTCATCCTGATTCCTTTGATTTTTCGTCTGATGAGTCATCTGTGAGTCATCACCCCCACAATCACTGCTGTTTTTTCCTTTTTCAACAATGAACTTGTTTTTAGCCACTGAGCCATTATATTACAGGCCAATGGATTTGGAGGCCCTTCTCCAAATACGGTTCTGGGGAAAATTTAAAAGGCTATTTAATAAAAGATTCACCATAACATGGCTGTCACTACACACTCCGCTCAAGGCTGTCATGGGCTGGCCTGCGCAGGGTGGGGTCCAGCTGGTGACCCTCTGGAGCATGACTGTGGGGCAGAATGCCCTGTCTTGGCTCCCTGGAGGCCCAGTGGGGTGGTGCCCGTGCTGGGCCACGACCAATCCTGCTGCCCCTTCTCCACGTGGATTCTGTGACACCCTGGCATGGCTGCCACCACAGCCCTGGGCCAGAACACCCACCAACCGCAGGGCTCCCAGGATGGCCTCCCGCCGACCCGGGGTAGACTTCCATCCTTGTAAAATTAACTTGTTAATGTTCTTCTGAACTCACCCATTTGCTAAGATGGTATCCCCAGAAGCCCCTTTTCTGAGGGTCTGCTCTGAGGCAGGCTGGGGATAGAACCACTTGCAGGACATAAAGCACCTCCATTTTGCAGTCACAGTCACCCCCCACCCCCCATCAGAAACCCAAGCATGGCCTCTCCTGGAGCATCTCCTTCATCTATGAAGTCTCCGTTCCTCAGGCCACCTCCTGAATATTCTGGAATCCACCTCCTCCTCTCCAGCTCCCTTTGTCCGCCCTCGTTCAGGCCTGGTTCCATGTGCCTGGAAGACCAGGCCTGTCCCCCTCATCCTGGCCTCCCAACCCCTCGTCCCTGCTGCCAGCCCCTGGGCAGCATCCATGCCCCCGCAGGGTGAGACCGTTTACCCCTGGTCTCCCCAACTCTCTCCCTCTCTCTTCCTTCCTCCTCCCCCCGCTACTTAAGTCATTTCCATGTGCCCCTCAGGACTCATCTCAGAAGTCACCCTTGGGAAGCCCCCTTGACCTGCAGGTGGGGTCACTTTCTTCCCCCGGGCAATGCTTTACCCATTGTGCTGCAATGTCTGTCTGGAGCCTGTCTCCCCCGTCAAGGCTCAGATGGCCGGATGGGGTGAGGACAGCTCATCCCAGGGCTCCGGGGTGCTGTTCAGAAGCAAGCAGCAGCCCTGGGCACACATGGGACATCGCTGGGGCTGTGTCTAGGATCAGTATAAGCTACAAGAAGGCCCTGGGACACACAAAAGCCTGGGGTAATTCCTGCTCCTGCCTGATGTCCAGCCCTGGGCTGACTCATTCATGTTTTCACTCAGCAAACACCAGGGAAAGCCTCTTCCTCCTCACCATACCCCACCCCCGGGCAGGCCCCAAGCTGGGTGTCTGCGCCTAGAGGTCCTACTCCCTGTGGTGTTGGAGCCAGGCCTGGACAGGACAGTGGGAGGCGGGCTCTGCTGGACATAGCTGGTGAGGGTGGGGGGCACTTTTAACCCTTCTCCGATTCCAAGAGGCCAAGACGGTCCTCAGTTCCATAGCAGCAGAATTTCAAAAGTGGCTGCCCAAAGGGGCTGGCCGATGTCACCCAGGACCCTGGAGTCAGAGCTCTTGACTACATTTGAATCTGCTTCTGCCTGCACCTGGAGGAGGTCTTGTGGCTGGTGGGGGTGCAGGTAGGATGGCGGATAAACCACTAGGGACCAGGGGTTCACGGGTTTTGACAGCAAAACCTCCCTGAAGTGTTCGCCTGGGAGGGAGCACTGCTCACGCCACAGAAGCTGCCTTGGTGGTTGGTTGGCCTCTTGGCCCTGAGATGCAAGGGTGGGTTTCCCTGGGGCTCATTAGGCGATGGGGCACCCCCAAAGTGCAGTTAGGGCTACCAGTCAAAGGGACAGGCTCAGGGCGGTCCCTGGTGCAGATGCTCCTCTCCCCAACCAGAGCGGGCGCCCCCCAGCGGAGCCTGCATGCTGGGACCCGCGGTCAGGCCGGAGAAGCCAGGAGCGGCGCGGCACCAGGGACAGAGCGCGAGGCAAGTCGCGGAGCCTCAGTTTCTCCAGCTAGAAACCGGTGGCGGTTGTGCAGTTTGGACGGCACACAGTAGGCCCTCAAGCAGGAGCGTGACTGCTCATCCCTCTGGTTTGGTCGAGATGAGGCCTGGGGCCCCGACCTCCGGGACCCCACTGAGTGGCCACTGCTCTTCGGCTTCAGGTCACTGCCGCCGCCCCCAGCCCACAGCGCCCGGCTGCTCTGTGGATAGGAGTGCGCGTGCGCGGGGCCGGACGGCTGCGGCGCACCGGCACCCCCGTGTGGCCACAGCAGGAACCACCGGCCTTGTGAACAGCCGGTGATGGGCTCCCCGCCTGAGAGACCTGAGAGCCTGTTGGGGTGATCATCTAAGGAGCGCGAACCCGAGAGCATGTGACAAGCTGAAGGCGTGACAGCCCTAACAGTAACAGATCACATCTGGACACGTGGTCATCTCAGGTCCAGAGTGGTGAGTGAGTTCCCCAAGATCAGGACTGGCTCTGCTTGAGGCCCTATGTCTAACACGGTCAGTGGCATACAGCAGGTGTTTAATAAATGTTTGTGGAGTGGGAACGAGTAAGCCATCTGTGTGTGCAGTGGCGTTGGAAGTGGTCAGATGGTCACAATGTGCGTCTACACTCTGACCTTCTGGCCACCCTCAGAAAGGGCCCGTCTCCGAAGTGCCCAGCCACTGGAAGGTGGGGCAGAGAGACAGAGGGAGGCTCAGGCCGCATACAAACCGTGATGGGCCCGGCCCAGTCCCCTGCACAGGGCAGAGCAAGGCTCCCTGCACCCCTCTCCCGGGAGCCTGGAAGCTTCTGGTCAGGGCAGCCTCTGCACATCACCTCTAGCCTCTCCCGCAAGAGGCCAGGCAGAACAGAGGTGGGGATGGAAGTGGGAGCTGCATGCTAGCCTGACCCTGACCCTCTCTGGGGAGGGCAGAACAGGAAGGGCAAAGTCAGGGCTGCTGGTGGTGGTGATGTGGGAAACGAAGGCAGAAGAGAAATTATTAAATTTCCTTACTACTTAACAACCACTGACAAGTCCTTGAAACAAGCAGAGTGACATTCCTCTAGGGACTCAGCTGCTTGGATGTTGACACTTTACTAAGGGCAAAAGGCAATCTTAGCTTGACCCCAGAACCCTGTAAGTCTACTTAACGCAGAAAAATTCCTTTGGAAACTTCCTTTATCTCTAAACCCCCAAGATACATGTTGGCAGTCATTCTCCAAGCATATGATGCACTGATATACATCTGAAGGGTCTCGTGACACTTTTTACTAGACAGTAATAAATGACCCTTTCCTAACAATAGCTAGCTCCCTCAGGATCCTGGAAACCTTGCTTCCAAAATTCCTTAGAAACTTACGCTATCCCTAACCCCCTCCCAGCTTGGAAGTATATATGTAATGGGCCACTCCTCACCACCCCAGAGCAGCTCTTTCTGCCCATGGGTCCCGTCCCCGTGCTTTAATAAAACCACCTTTTTGCACCAAAGACGTCTCAAGAGTTCCTTCTCGGCAGTGGGCTACGAACACTGACATCTTTCCTCTATCAGTGGGACTGCGGGCAGGGTGGGGAAGTGCGATGCGGGAGGGGCGTGTGGGCGCAGGGGCTGGGAATGAGCCCCAGGTCCTTGCCCCCCACTCCCTGTGGCCACGCCCCAGCCACGTGGGCCAGGCTAGGGGCTGAGGCTGGGGAGGGGGTCCAGGCCAGGCTCACAGCCCACAGGCAGGGTGGGGACCTCGCTGGGTGGGATGTGGTGGGTCATGTAGCGCTTCCCCATGAAGGAGCCAATCCGCAGCTGCTCCAGGGCCTCCTCGGGCCACCACAGGCTGGAGCTGGATGGGGAGAGGAGGCGGCACTAGGTCCCTGCTGGGTGGAGCCCACTGCCAAGCCAGGGCCTCCTCCCGCAGCCTCTCCCTTTCCTTCCTTCTAGAACCAGCTGCTGGCCCACCTCCTCCAGGTAGTTGTCCTCACTACCCTGGTATCAGTTCTCTGAAGTGACTGAGGGCTGGCTGGTGAGAAAACAAGGCCCAGCAGGAGAAAGACCGGGGCCAAGGACACACTGAAAGGCAGGGCAGAGCGAGGTGGCCCCTTTTCTGAACCTGTCTTCAGAGGAGCTGCTGGGCCACCTCCCTGCCCTCCAGGTGAGAGAGACTTGGGACCGAAATTCCCCGAACATCCCTAGAAGGGGCACCGCCAACTCAAAACTGCAAGGTTCAAGGAGGGCTTCCAGGTGCTGGGACCAGGGAGAGGGAAGGGGTTCTGCGGGGTGGGAGAGAGGCGCATGGGGCCATCAGCACTCACAGGCGCGCAGTGGACGCTGCCAGGAAGGCCAAGAGCAGGAGGCCGGCCAGAGAGCAGAGGATGGAGGTGATGATGATCATGTCACCACTGCGCCGCCCTGGCCACGTGTCGATGGAGGCTGGCGCCTTCCCTGCACACAGCAGCTGCTCAGAGGCTGCCCCTGGACCCCAGGGCAGTCACGTCCCCACCCAGGCGCACACTCAAGGCCTGACAGCCTCCTGAGTCCACCCACCCGTTCATCTCAGCCGGGCATCTGGGCCCTGCCCACCTGTATCACCCATGGCTCCAGCCCCTTGGTCTCACCTTCTAGGCTGTTCCTGCCAATGTGCCCCCCCACTGACCTGCCCACAACTGGGCTGGGACCTGAGCAGCTGAGGGGTGACCAACATTTGGGCATGGACAGAGCCGATGAGGCTGACCCGGTGCCCCACCTCCCCAGCACGAGCTTCTGTTTGGGGGAGGGGCTGGACTTGGACACAGTGCCTCCAGGCCCCCAGTCTCATGGCAGCAGGGGGAGAGAACAGCTGAGCATGACCATTTGGCAGAGGGGTGATGAGTCCACAGGGGTAGACTGGAGCCGGAGCACCCCCCTCCCCCAGGGCTACCTTGGTGGAGAGCAATGGGGTCGGACCACCTGGTCTCGGCCAGGGGTGAGCCCCTGGCGTCCATCAGGAGGAACTTCACTCTGCAGGGAGGAGAAGGGGGGAAGTCTGAGCCTCAGCTGCCCTGGGCAGGGCGCCCACAGCGGCCAAGCTCCAGGCAGTTCTGAGCCAGGCTCTTCTGGGGCACATCGGGACCAGCCGTGGCCTGGTCCCCCTCTGGGGGCCCTCTGAGACTGCACTGACCACAGTGACCTCTGCCATCAGTCCCAGTGCATCTGAGCCGTTGCTCTCCAGACACCCCATCTGGTTTAGGGGACCCCAGTCACTAAATGTCACATACACAGTGCCTCAGGGTGGCTCAGCAGGTCAGATGGAGCTGGGAGCCCCAGGCCTCCCAGAGAAAACGGCTGGCCAAGTGGCATTTAGGAAGCCATAGGCTCGGGCACCCTAAGCAAAGGGCCAGGGAGGGAGGGGTGTGGTCAGGGCACACTCAGAGCCTGGGGTCCCAGGGAGGGGTCGGGCTGAGCACTGAGGGCACCAGAGGCCGCGCAGGGAGGTTGTATCTTTGCGTCAGGTGGGGAGCCCTGGAAAGTGTCTGAGCATGGAGGGACCCAGGCAGGCTGGCACCGAGGACAGCCAGCTCCGGTGGCTGCTAGGGATGGGGGCAGGAGGTAAGAGGAGGCCGAGCCAGGAAGTGGGCATGGGGGAGGTGGGAGGGTGGTCCTGTCAGGGCAGGGACCACACAGGGGCAGAGGGAGGCTGTGGATGGAAGCGCCGGTCCAGCCCACACCACGCCCCACCTTCCCTTCACCCCGTGCTGGTTCTCTCGGCCGGACTTGGACTCCCTGAGGACCCCTGGGCCTGGCTCTTCTGGGGCACATCGGGACCAGACCCCATATGGACACCTGCTCTCCCACCCTGGCTCCCTCCATGACCCTGACAAGCCCATGGTGCCCTGCGCCTCAGCTTCTTCACTGGAGAAAGTGGGTGGTGGTCTTATTTCCTGCTTCCCTGCCTCATACCCACTGCTTGGGCCCGGACTCAGCCTGGGGCTTAGATTCCTGCCAGATCTACCCATGGACTAGTGGCTGCAGCCCAGCACCCCCCATCTCCCAACTCTGGGCCTGAGACCCCACCAGCCCTGTGGTGCCCACTTCTTCCTCATGGGCAGGCCTCCTGGAGAGGCCATATTCTGCCTGCCCCCCAACTGGTATGAGTGCTGCTCCTTGACCCCACAGAAGCATAAACCAAAGCTTGTGAAGGGGAAGGGTCTGGGGAGAGGCTAGAAAGGGCAGCTCTCTAACCCGAGACCCCTTCTCCCCCAGCATAGCCCCTGTCCCAGAGTCCAGGTGGAGTGACCCACCTGTAAGGTCCAGGGCTGGGGAGGGGGCTGTTGCAGTAGGGCGGCTGGTGGAGGTCAGCAAGGCAGCCGGGGTCACTGCCAACCCGCAGCAGGGGGATGTCCCTGCTGCCACCCTTGGGGTCCTCACAGGGCAGCTGGTCCAGGGATAGGGGCAGCGTCATATAGTGGCCATCAGTCAGCAGCCGTGGGAAGGCTGGGATCTCAGCTCGTGTCTGCGGGTTCTGGAAGTCCCTGGAAGCTGCAGGAGAAAGGGACAGACAGATGGGGCTAGGGGGCCTAGCCCCTTGCTGGGTCTAAGGCTCCCCACCCGCCCCTCCCCGCCCCCCACGCCTGGCTCCTCCACGCCTCAAGGGCCCAGAAGCTCCCTCCAGGCACAAACCAGGTTACTTTGTCACCCTCTCAGAGCCCGTCAGGATAAAGCACAACGCCTGGTCCACCACTGGGCAGCTCTCCTCAGCCCCAGACCCGCACCGTGACACACCATTGCTGAAGGCCACCACCAGCCAGATGGTGTTGGCAACGCTGGCATGCCCATCCAGGACACAGCGAGGCTGCTCCAGGGAGAACGTGGTGGCTGTGACCTTTCCTTCCAGGTCCCAGGCTGTTATCTGCGGCGTGTAGGGGATCAGCTCTGTGGCCACGGAGATAGGCATGAGGGTCCTGGGACCTGCTCCCCGCCTCCCCCGTTGGCGGCGGGGAGGGCTCCCAGGATCCAATCACCCCAGCGGGTGTCCCAGCCCCTTGGGTCCAGCCGGGTGAGTTCATCCCAGGATCCCCACTCACCCAGGCTCATACAGGATGGGGGCCAGACCAGTGCCCCCACAAGGAGGAGCAGGACCGATGGGCCACGCTGCCTCTGGGGGAGCCCCATGATGGCCACCCGAGCTCAGCTTTCTTCCACATCCGCAGCCTGGGGCTGATCTGGCTACCTCCTGCCACACCCCCGCCCCAGCACCTTGAGCCTGGAGGAGCCGGTTAGTCAGGCTGAGAGGCTGGCCAAGGCCTGGAAAGACCTGAAAATGTAAATGCACCCCACCCTCTCCCACCAGCCAGGCCTACCCTGAGGGGGCTGGGCTGGGCTATAGGGTGGGGCAGGCCAGTGCCAGGCCCCAGTGCAGGACTGAAGGGGATGCCACCAGATCCCCAGATGCCAGCCAGGCCACCAGAGTCCCATGTCTGAATTGGGGCCCCAGCTAGCCTCCCTGCCCTGGAGAGGACCCAGTCTCTGGAAACATGGGCTCAGGAATCCTGAGATTCCTGCACCCCAGGTGCCAGGAGCCTCCCTCTGGCCTTCCATCTCCACCCAGAGAGTGGGAGCAGGATGCAGAGGCCCCAGCCCACCTGTCCAGCTCCAGCCCCAGGACAGCCCCCCGGTCCTACTGCCATCTCAGCGCCCTGCCCTCCCTCCACAAGGCCACATTCTTGTCTAACAGGCGTCTGGAACCAGAGAAAGGACCTTTGACAGCCGACAAGTCTCCCACGTACTTTACTCCTTTTGGTTCTATTTTTTTGTTAAGATATAATTAAAAAAAAAAAAGATAATGCACATAAAATTCATCCTTTTAAAATGTACAGCACAGTGGGTTTTCACAAGGTTGTGCAAACATCACCACTAAGTTCAGAACATGTGCATCACCCCGAGAGGACACGCTGTACCCATGATAAGTCACTCCCCATTCCCCGCTCCCCCGGCAACCATCTACTCTCAGCCTCTGCGGACTTCCCTGTACTGAACATTTCACATTGCCAGAATCACACAAGTGGCGAGCTGGGGCTGGCTTCTTTCACTTAGCATTCTGTTGTCCAGGTTCATCCATGATGTAGCGTGTGGCCGGCCTCGCTCCAGAACTTTCCCTCCACTGTATGGAGACCGGGCATTTTGTTTCCTGGCCCCTCAGCGGACAGTTGGGCTGTTCCCACTTTTTGGCTGTTATGAATAATGTTGCCACGAGTGTTCACGTACAAGTTTTGTGTGGACCTGTTTTCTGTTCTTGGATAAATGCCTAGGGGTGGAATCGCCGAGTCATAGGGTAACTACTTTTTTTAAAGATTTTATTTTTAAGCAATCTCTACACCCAACATAGGGCTCGAACGCAAGAGTCAGTCACATGCTCTATTGACTGAGTCAGCCAGGCGCCCCCAAAACCCCAAACTTTTAGGTGGAAGAAAAATGCTTTAATATATAATATACTCATCTTTACACCAACACATAAAACAGAATTTAATTTTTTTTTCTTACGGAGAAAAAGGGCTTATGGAGGCAAAAGCACCCCTGGCCCACTCAGGATGTGGCCGGTGTCCCTGTAGTCCCGGGCCACAGTCACTGCCCCCAGACAGATGGCAGGCTGGGGTATTTGATCCTCCTAAGAGAGTTGAGAAGAATTAGAACTTCGAGGATGGGGTCAGACCAGCCCTGGCCCCATTCCAGGCCCAGCTCTACTGCGAGCCTGGGACCCTGGGCCAGTCACTGCATCCTTGAACTTGTTCCCTCATCCAGAACCTGGAAGCCAGCAGCACCCGCCACGGCAAGCAGCATCTTACTCGGGGAGTAAATGGGACGGCGGGCCTGGCAGAGTCGCTGGACCACACTTGGCAAGGAGAACTGGAGTGGGGACGGGGCAGCAGCCCAGGTCAGGGGGCGGGCTCCCAGGCCTCACCACAGCTTGGTCACTGGGGAACGCGGGTCGAACGGGCAGTCTTCGGCTCCCTCCTGCTCGGATGCAGCAGGATGCACGCACACGCACACACCCACGCACAGCCTCTCCGCCGACAAACACACCAGGGCCTGCTGACTTTGGCTATAGGGCATTTATTGCAAACGGAACATCTGAGGTATGAGAAGCTGACCTGGAACCCACGCCTGCCCTGGCTACGATGGGGCAGTCTCGCCTCGCCCCACGCCAGGCCCCCGGCACTATGGACCCAAAGCAGCCCGCAAAGGGCAGGGCCCCACGCTCTGAGGTAGCTGTATCTGAAGCCCCCACAGCACAACTCCCCAGGCTTGCCCAACTCCCACACAGATCCAGGCCTGGAGGGGAGGAGGGGGGCGGAAGGCAGGCCCCGACAAACACTGCAGCCTCGGAGGAAAGGCACCTTCCTACCTGCCCATCCCAGGGACAGCCCAGCCGGCAGTGTGGGGAGAGGGTGGCTGGCTGCCGGAGGCAGGCGGGGCGGGGCTGGGGCCGGCCAGGCTGCGGGGGTCACTGCTGCTCCAGGCAGTCCTCGGTCACCCCCTGGGCAGCCAGCTCGGCCAGCACATTCTGCAGGTAGTTGGGGTCAGGGTAGCCGTGGCCTGTCACATTGCGGTCCATCTCTGTCTTGTGGTGGATCTCGTTCCACACCACTGTGTCCGTCTCTCCCGTGGTGCTGGACGTCCCTACTGTGAAGATAAGTCGCCTCTTCCAGGCCACCTTCAGCAGCTCCAGGACCTGCCGTGGGGGAGGGAGAGGGAGGGGGAGGGAGGGCCTGGTGAGCGAGCGCAGGCCTGGGCACGGGTTTTTCACCCTGGAGCAGCGGGGCGCCGGGGCCGGTTGACAGCTGCTGGCATCCACTGCTCGTGCCCCTTCCCGGGTCTGACCTGCCCCAGCAGTGGGGGCCAGGATGGGCACAGCGGCCACCCACCCTGTGCCAGCCGTGGGTGGGGCGAACCAAGGCGCGCGAAGCCCTCTCTCTCCAACCTGTACTGTGACCGCCGGCAGGACCGGGGCCGGGCCGCTCTCCTAAGTGAGCCCACCCACAGTCCCGGGCCTGGAGCCCCATCGGTGGGGGTCCCTGGCCTCTGGCTCCAGTCCTAATTCCTCTCACAGAACTCTACCTGCTGACCTCACCGCCCAAGAGGACCCCACACCTCAGAGGGCGCCGCCATCCGCTGCTCAAGCCACACCTGGGGCCGGTCTAACTCGACCCTACTTCCAAGTCGGCCTCTCCCTCCCAAGGGAGCCCGCGCCTCTCTGCTCCCCCACACCCAGTACCTGCCGGCCAGGCTCCCAGCAGCCAGAGGTAGCTTTTTCAAACCTCCAACCAGCAACACCCAGGGCGGCCTAGGGGTGCCCGATGCCCCACTGCCCCCACAAGGGGCTCTGGTCCTCCCCAGACTTCCCAGCCTCCAGCCCGGTCCACCTGCTGCCACTCACGAGCTGCTCTGGCTGCCAGGAATGCTCTCCCTAGCCTCAGCGCAGAGGTAGCTCTGCGGGCCGTCCCAGTCACCCAGTCCTTTCCTGTCCCCCCAACCCCCGCCCCCACCCCACTGATCTCGTCACGCTAACCTGACTGAAGACCAGGTGACCTGGCCCGAGAGGTTGATGAAAGAGGCCTCCCCTCCAGTCATCTCTCCTGGGGGAGCATGCCTAATGCACAGCAGACCCTGGGAAGGAGGGGCCAGCACCCCAGCCAGCCCCAGAAGAAGAAGGTGAGCAGAGCAGAGCAGGTATGGCCACCAGGCTGGGCCCTTCCCCACCCCACCTGCTCGAACTGGCCACAAGCAGCCAGGCACAGGCCTACCAGCCGGGGGGCCCCTTCCTCACCTTGCGGCCCTGGGCGTTGTCTGGAAGGTAGCACTGGCGGGGAAACCCCCTGGCGGTGAATGGCTTCCCGGGGTTGGGGTGCTCTGGGCCCTGCAGGAGGAACGCAGACACCAGGTGTGGGAGCGTCCTGAGAGGGGCCCAGCAGCCCAGCCCACCTTCTGCCTCCCCGGCCAGGGCTACTCCTGCACTTGGGACCAAATAAATCCATGTCTCAGATCCCACCCCTCAGAGACAGGACATGACACGGCCTTCCCTGACGCCATGCCGCTCGGTCTGGCACAGACACTCCTGCTAACTGATGAGACCAGAACTCATCAAAGGCCGGGGCACACGCTCCCACCCCGCTGGTGCCCCTCCGGGCTCTGTGGTCGAGATGGCAGGGCCTCCTTCCTGATGCCCTCACCCCTTGCTTGAGACGGGGCCACAGCGGGGCCTGGCAGAGGGGCAGCAAACAGGACGGGAGGGGAGGGGGCTAGAACGGTGGAAGGCCCTCTGCCACTCAGAGGCACATCACATACACCTCCAAACCTCCCCCTCCGCTCCCCGCCCCCCGCTCTGTGGCTCTAAGGCTGTCGGGAATGTTTTTAAAATTCACTATGACCCCCTGAGAAGCAGCAGAGGAAAACCAGGAAAAAGCATGTGGTTGAACAAAACAGGGACACCCCACCTGTCACAGACGGGCCCCTCTGGGTCCTGGTCTCCACTGCCCGGTACCTTGCCCACCTGTCACCAGTTCTGAGGTCAGCCCTGGCCCAAGCAGGAGGCCGAAAGGCCCAGGGCTCCTATCTGGGTCTCTATTGGGACCCTGGGATCTTCTGCTCAGGTTCCCGTCTTGTTCTTGACATTAGAGCCGGCCCCACCACACCCAAGGCAGGCCTGGATCTGGCCACTGAGCTGGCCTCTCAAGAGCAACTGCCCTCACTGTTGGCACCTCCCTGCCCTGTGGGATCCCCCGTTATTCAGCCCCTCAACACGAGCATTCTTCCTGCTTCATACACTTGGCCTTCTGCCCAGTACAAGTCCAGCTACGATGTCTCCACCTCCAGGATGCCCTCCCTGCATCAGGAAAGGGCTGAAGGCCACCTCTTTGCTTCCACAGCCCTAAAAGCTTGTTCCCTCCCCAGACGCTGGTGCCTCCTGGTTCCTGGGAGCCTGAAGTCAGGAGGCTAGGGCCTCCTGAGTGCCCCAGAGATCAGACCACTGGGAGAGGGGTGGCGTAGGAAGAAGACTGCCCCAGAGTGAGAGGGACCAATTCTAGAACGATCCCAGGAGGCTCCTCTCGTGCCCCTTACCTGGATGCCGTGAGGAATGTTGTAAACTATGAGTATTGTTCCGCAGTCCTCATGGCCGGGTAGGGATACCTGGAACTTGAACACCTCCATCTTCCCCCGGGGCTGGGTCCCAGTTTTCTCCCCGTAGATGGTCTTGCAGGAAGGACACTGCAAACTTCCGTCCTGAGACAAAGCAAAGCACCACGGACTGAGCTGGTGGCCCTGAGAGAGTGCCTAGCACGGCCCCCTGCCCCACAGCAGGTCCCTAGCTTGTCCCCCCCACTCCCTCACGACCCCAACGGCTTCCCTGGAAAGACGGTCGACATGGGGGCGAGGTACTGGGAGACCAGCATCGAGTAGGCAAACCAGGTTGGTGCACAACAGTCTCCACGGTCGAACGGGTTTCAGACCAAACGAAAACCCCGTGACCTAGCAAATGCTGGTGCCGGCACCCTGGCTGGTACAGGGCGGCCCAGGGATGCTGCGGGCGGGAGACGCCACGCCAGGCCACGAGGTCTGACGCGTGACCCAGGTCCTTCTGTCTGTCCTCCGGACCTCTGTCCGTTCCGGCTAAGAGCCACTGAAGGACAGCAGCCCGGTGTCACTTGCTGTCAGGCCTGCAGCGGCCAAGCTCTACCCTGCTGAGGGCCCAGGCCTGCAGACATCGCGAGTCTGCCTCCGAGAGCGTCCCAGGCTCCCCGCAGGACAGCAGCGGTCCCCTGCTCAGCCGCGGCAGGACCAGGGCAGGACTAGGGCAGGACTGTGGGC